TCGGCATGGATTATAATATAAGATAACGGTACAATTTCAAAAAAAAAAAAAAAAATTATTCAAATCGGTTTACTATAACATAGAGCTGCCATACAAACTGAACGTTCAAAATAAGAAATTTTTGGGTTTGTGAAGGGTATTATATTACAACACACTTTTTCTTTGTTTTTACCGTTAAATAATCACTTGTTATTTTAAATGTGCGCACCACCTGCTGGGCGTATTTCAAGTGAACACATTGCGGAAGATTAGAGAACAAATATGATCTTTGGGTCTCAATTTCCTCAAACTATTGGCAAAAAATCGACAGTGTTTTTGTGTGTTCACCACAGACTAAATAATTGAATACACACACACAGACACAAATGACCGCCCATATTTGTCCAGGCTTAATTGCGTAGGCAAGCGGTTCTCTGTGTGTTTGCAAAGATTTACAGTGCTGCAACACACACACATACGCACATAAACAAACATAAGCATAAATTTATTGTTTACCGACGCTGAGTAAATATTTTTGCGGTTGAAACGGTAATTACGCATACAGATCCGCAAATATGTCTATGCAGCTTTAAAAATTTTGCTGTTACACATGCCTGTGTGCGCAAATATGTGTGTGCCTGTGTGCGTGCATGCAAAAAGATGCAAATAAAGAAAATGTTTGCGCAAAGTTTGCTAGTTTGCTTGTTGTTTGCCTTGTGCAAATACCGTTATTGCAAGTTTGCCGACTGCCTGTCGCAACGCAACCGTCCACTGTGAGTTTGGTAGCTTTCATTCAGACATGCAAACATTGTGCTGCCAGAAAAGTCACTCAGCTCAGCTAGACTTCATTGTTTTATTTATCAAAATAAATTAGTTTGAAGCAAAAGAAAAAAATTTATTTATTGTTTATATTTCATAACATTTGCCAAACTGCTTCGCACGCTCACTCACTTTCGAAAGAACCAATAGCGTTTGCTCGGTGTGGCACCTGCTGCGCTTTCGGGTATTACGTCTGCGTTCTCATCCTGCTCTTCGTCGCCTTTGCTGTTCACTCTCGCTTCCGGTGCCGGCAATGGTTCCGTGTCATCCTCGGCCGCATCAGCCGCGATCGGATCCACATCTTCGGCCAAATCTTCAGCAGCTTCTACGTCAGTTTTTACGTCATCTTCCGCTTCTAGCTGTGTGGCCGTCGCTGTTGTCACCTCATCTGATGGTGCTTCGGCTGCCTGGTCGGTTGGTAGTTTAAAGGGTACCTTCGGACTGTAGCCTGCCGCTGGATATGGTGCTAGCTGACGCGCTGCGTGTGAATTCCGCAAAGCCTTGGCACTTGAGCCCGTGTATTGTGCGGCTGGACTGCCGTAGCTGTGCGCCAGCAGCAGCAATAACAGTAATGCCAAAGTGATTTGTTTCATTTTGTGTAAAATGAAAAGGAAATAAGAGTACGTGGAAATTCTAGCACTATCAGTGCTGCTGTGTCAGACTTTCAAGCTTTCACGCTAAGTTCACAACTAATTCTGAATTATTTGAAAAAATCGCACGAAGTAGTTTCGGCTTTCTGCCACCGATTAAACACATACGAAATTTCATAATTTAAAATTAAAACAGAAAAAAAAACATAATACACGTAAAATAATACCTTTCACAGGTTAATTTTTATAGCGTAAGGCGATGTAAAAAGAACTTTTTCTTGATTCCGTTCGGTCAGTTTGTATGACAGCTACATGCTAGAGTAGTTTGATCTGAAAAATTTTCACCAGATATTTCAGTGTTGCTTTGGAAAAATATACATGCCGAATTTCAGCTGGATATCTCTCCAAATAAAAAAGTTTTTTTTTATAAGGATCGTTTAGTTTGTATGGCAGCTATATGCTAGAGAGGTCTCATCTGAAAAATTTCTCCAGACATTTTAGCCTTGGGTAAATATCCAAGCCAAATTTTAGGTAGATATCTCTTCAAATGAAAAAGTTTTCCATTCAAAAACTTGTTTCTGATCGTGTCTGATGACAGCTATATTCTATAGTGGTCTGATCTGAAAATTTTTCTCTAAATATTTTAGCTTTGCTTTCGACAAATAAATAAGTTTTCCTTACAAGGACTTGAGTTTGATCGCTCAGTTTGTATGGCGATTATATGATATAGTTATCCGATATCGACGGTTCCGTCAAATTAGTAGCATCATATTGAGTGCAGGATGTGTGTAAAATTTGTGATCGATATCTCAAGAACTGAGTGATCAATTCACGTATACACAGACGGATCAAGAGACAGTCATGGCTAACTAGAGTTAGCTTAATATATCCTCTGCAGGGTATAAAACCTGGTTAACACATAGCCTAGTCAGATTTCGACTGCCCAAATTTTTTACGTTCCTACTATAGGCATTAGTCAAGCTGACGCTTAGCGCACCCAATGCTGCATACTAATTTAAATTCTTGCAGCATGTTTTTTTCGATTTTCTACTGCTTTTCCTGTCAAATATTGTTTTGACTATTATTGTTGTCCGCATAATCATGGTCACACATAGTGTTGACGTACCGAGTGTAGTTCCAAGTCAAGTACGCAACTCTGCTTCTTCGTATTCCCAATATTATTGTTGTTAGTTTGTTGTTGTTTCGCTCAAAATAGTTGCTCGCTGATTATTGTTCACAGCCACGTCGCTAAATTGCCCATTCGCTTGTCTACATATGTCAAACGAATGTCAGATGAATGTCATACAATAAACAAAATTGGTGCGCCTGTCCATCAGCGGCGGCGGCGTGGAAGTCGAAATTATAGTCAACCAAATAGCAAAGTTTTTGACGGGCTTGTCTGACTGTTTGGGTGCATTTGGTTTCTGAAATTTTAGTGCTGGCGTCAATAAAAATATCATAAAACCCCTACTAAATAATATTGACTCAACTATGACAAGCGCATTGGCGTACGAATGTATGCAGCAAGGTTTATGGATTTCTGATTTCGCGCGTCTTTATTCAGCATAGACTATTTAAGTAGTATTTCAGTTAAGCGAATTTGCATGCGCGCATTTAAACGCTTGCTATAATGGCGCTATAAAGTTTGAAGGTGTCAACGTACAATTCGGTTTTATGTTCGTGTGTGCTTTTACTTGATTGCAGAGCTTCACAATCATTTTTGAAATTCATTGCCAGATTTTATGTTTTAGTCGTATTAATAATACCAATAATATGATTGAGGGTAGGGGCTGTATGAAAATGAAGGACTAGAGTTTGAGACCACACGCTTTTCTCGAAGGGTTCTATGCGCAAGCTCCCTCATCTGCGATTTTCGTACTTCTACTTTAAAGGTCTGTTCAGATTTCCATTTTTTTTTGGTCAAATTGTAAACAAGTTTTATTTTTTTTTTAGAAGCATCAAAAGCCGTCAAGACTTTAATCCCCTAAACCGGTATGTACTTCCATCTCATGCCTCTCCACGTCACCTCTGTACAAAGTATTACTTCATAGGATAGCAGAAGCCATTTAAGTCTCCTTTATTGTATGGACTGACCGACGCTTAATCTGTTGTAAATGTCTCAATCTGGTCATAATTACAGTTACCGCTTCGCAGACAGCTTTCTATTGTACAGAGCGCTTGCAACTCAATTTTCCACCGTCGTGAGACTACCCCCAAGTGTGGTTTTCAGCTTTTCTCTTATACTTGAAAACTGAAGGCAGTGAAAGAGTACGTCTTCAGAGTCTTCTATACACTCTGTATATCTTTTCTATAGAGGTTTGTATTGATCCTTCCTATGTTGCTACCTGCGTTGTCAGCTCTCAGCCGCTTTTCTGACCGCAAATACTTAAGTCACGAAGATAGTAGAGGATCCCAAAAAGCCTGAAGGGACACCTAAGATCCAGCACCGAGCTACATACCATTTTTGAAATACGATTGCTTTTTCCTTTGAGGTCTACTTTCTAAAAAAAAATCGATAAAGTACAAATCTAGAGAATACTACTCTCAAATAACTCTGCTTGAGGCAGCTTGCTGCTATATCTAGACATCACTTACCTAAATTTGAGTGCTTAATGCTGATATTGACGTTCTGGTGTCTCATTGAATGTTACCTCACTTCGAAGCAGTAAGTTTACTGGTGATTTAATATCAAACACTTTTGTTTGAAGAGCACAACAGTAGTCCCGTAGCCTAAAGTTAAACTTGACGGAGAGCTTCCTACAGAAAACTCCTCCACCAACCTTCTAACCTTCAATCCATCCGTGCGAAAGTTCACTGCGCCGAGACTTCTTCCCATCCACATATCCCTTGTTGTTGGATGCGAGGTCGGACATTCTCAAGCGCCATTTCGGCAGCCCTCCTTTAGATGAATGCACCCAAAGTTGGCTAAAAAATTATTAAAAAATATTTTTTCTAATTCTCTTGAATTTTTTACTGGACCTCTCTACACATGCATAAATTAATACAGGTAGTTTCTATTTTGTTTTTATTTTTATTTCTTGCACTGCCTTTGTAAAAGCAAATGCGGTACAGTCGCCGGCACCGTTGTACGTGCAACGAATATTTTAACTACAACTAATAGTTTGATGTGGGCAAACAACACAAATACACAATCATGCATAAGCAAAACATATGTACATATATACACACACACATCCATTCATGTTTTGATTTCTGAAAAGTTTACGAAGTAGTGCCAAGGTTAACCGATTTTCAAGTTCAAGGGAAAGTACAAGTTCGTGCATAAACTCACAAACTAACAAAGCCTGAGGTTCTTCAGGCAATTGGAAAGCAAGTTTCCATAAGGGAATTCAATGCTACCTTTCACGTTCGATTTCACTTCATAATCGAATTAAGTATTTATCACATTTATGGCAAGTTTATGCATCGATAGCAGCAGGAAAAGTCAAACAAATCAAAATATTAACTTTCACAAGTTATGGCAAACTCACTAGCAAGCATAAGAATGACTCTAAAGAAGACAGAAAGCAAGCAGAATTAAAGAAAAGTTGAGCTTATTGTCGTTGAAAAATATTTATTAGTATCGCTTTTATAACCGCTTCTACCCCAACAATAAACAAAACAAATTTGAAATGATTAATTCACTGCCTTATACCTMGAAGCCTCGCCGCTTCCCTCCATCACTCATCTATTTATTTAAGAAGGTAAACAACACCGGGCTCAGCGCGCACGAGCTCTACAACTCCCGGTGCAGCAGGCACAGCTTGCAGTATCAGCGGCTGCGAGCGCACAACACCACGGGCGCGTTGTTTGGCCAAAACGGGCTTACGACGTGGTTGAATCAGGTTTTCGGATACGATAGTGCCGTCAGCGTTATCAGCGGGCGCCGGCAGTGTGGTAGTCTCTTCTGGTGGACCATAGGTTGGATCGGGTGTAGGTTCCTCCTCCTCTGGTGGGCCGTAGATGTCGTCGGGTTGTGGTGCCTCTGTCTCTGTTGGCAAATCAAAAGGAACGGATGGTGTGACACCGGCTGGTGGATATGGCGCCGGCTGATCAGCCGCTACTTCGGGGGGCACGTCGTCCGCGTTGTCGGCGATCGCCGCCTCCTGGCGTGCAAGGAAACGAGCCGGCGCGCGTCTGAGCGCTGCACGAAAGCGTGGTGGCTCAGCGGCAACCACTGCCATGGTGGCGGCGAAAAGTAGCGCCAGTTGAGCGGTGTACTTGTACATTTTGTCGTGGAGTTGTCGAGTTGTCGCTAAGTTGCTTAAATATTCCTTTGAGTTTGATGTTGTCGCTGCTGCTACTGTGCTGTTAGACTGCCGCTGGTTGCTCGCAAGAATGCTATCTTAACCTAAGCACTATTGTGCTTATATACCTTGGCACAAAATCTGTGTCTTTACAGACATCATTCATCAAAACGATTCTGAAGTTACGGTTACGCTCAATTACACGCACAACTACTAGGCCTCCTGCCAAATTTGGTGCAACACGGCCAGTCTTACTGACGTCGACCGATGTAATCGTTGTTGTAGCGTATACGTGGTAGTCATTGTAGGTGAGCGCGCTTCCAATAGTTGTGTGACGACGCGTCAATCGTTTGTCTGCCCACTGGCTTTACGTGACAATGACGTTGAGGTTGTTCCGCTCGTTTGACTGCTATGTCAAGGGCCAATGGCTAATCATGCGCCAAATGTGGCTGCCGCAGTCACTTAGCATTTAACCATATAAAATTATGAAGCAGGGAAATGTTATGAACCAAACTCAGGTAGGTGATGTGAAAAACAAAATTTTAACACCAAAAGAGAAACTTTGCAATCATTAGCTATAAAGAATATTCTCAGCAGGGTCACGGAATGGTTACTATCCAGAAGGAGACGTCGGAGAGCCTATAAAAATGTTAATAAACATCCATCTCTGTCTGGTTGTCCATCTAATGCCAGGCATTTTTAGTACTAATTAGCAATGTGGAATGGACACACTAATCACTTTGGTATAGTTTGAGGGCCATCTAAAACCTCTTCCGTACTTTGGGTCCGGCACCCGGTTGCAATGCAACTCCTCATTCAACTAACAGAGTGTCAGTTCATCTCGCATTCGTGTTTTAACCACAGCCATCACGATACTCTCCGAGGACATAGTGCGCGTGCGCAGGTTGCAGCGAACTCCAAGAGCTTCTTCTCCCCATTGCACCGGAATTAAGTCTCCGGTCGGACCTCGTACCGAAGCTATTACCAGTTGAGCTTCCATACTGTGCTGGACTGGTGACCAGGGATTGGACCCCATACGCTCATTACACCATTCGCATAAGACAAATAACTTGTCAAGTATAAAAAATTCCCAGTTACGGCTTTGCTGCGTAAACGAGCCTAACTGTTCGGCATTCCGACTAGTGGAGATCACATCTAAATGTCCATCAGTCCAGCTAATCCCCATGCCACCCAGATCGTTAATGTCCGATTACATCGAACATTATGCAATTACATGCACTCAGTCCTAGACCCACGCCCCACAAAAACACCTCGACTTGTCAGATAGGTGCCTTTAATTCAAAAATTGTATCTGCATGGATTGTGTCGGTATGGATTATGTTGGATGTACTCGTAAGTCGCCTGACCGTTAGGAATATTGGGAATATTGAACAAGACGGCCGTACAACTTCCGAAGAAATTGCTTATATTGGATCACTATAGCATATAGCTGCTAAGCAAACTGACTGATCATAATCCAGTCTTTGTATGGACCACTTTGGTATTTGACAAAGAATCGTCACGAAATTAAGCACGTTCCCAAAGCAACAATACAACCTCCGAAGAAATTGTAGAGATCGGACTATTAATTTCACATAGCTGCCATATATACGGAATTGAATCTTTTGTATTTAATAAGGGTGTTATAGCTTGTTTTATCTGAACTTTACAAAGCGTAAGTCTAAATTTACAGTTAAGAGCCATAACATATTGAAGTTGTACAAGTAGGTAAGCTCTATGGCTCCCACTTTGCCGTCGGTTGGAATCCGTTGCCTAATGATAATGATAGCTTAAGTCATTGAAAAAAGATCTCGCACAGGAAAAAACAATTTTGGCAAGAACAATACAGATCTGTATATTATCTCCTCCCTTTTTGGAGTTCATCTGCTTTGTGGTGAAGAAAATATTAAAGCTAGAAATAGCATTGCCACATTCTCGTAGGTGCATTCATAAATAACTTATCAAGTATAAAAAATGTATTTTGCGCATAACCAATTACCGAAATATTTATATAAAAAAAAACTTGGGCCCAAACTTGGAAAACATTGACCCTACAAACACTTAATATGGCAAGGCAACCCTCAAACGGTTTTGTGGGACTCAAACAGTGAAGTTCAACAAGCAACAAAGTCTAGTTCGATGAGTTAGCTTTGCGATTGACAGCACAAAGGGAATATCCGAGCTTATTTATATGCAAGCACTGTTTAATAAAAAGTTAAATCAAGTAAACAGGTGACTAATTAAATTTAATAATAATCTCGTAGAGGATTGAACGTGCAAAATATCAACAAATACAATTGCAAAGTGTCAAACTAAAAATAGTGCGAATGTTAGCTTAAATTAGTGAAAAAACACAGGGATTTTTAAGTGCGTGCGTGAAAAAATGTTGGATAGTATAAAACGTTGTCGTCGGACTTAGCATAAATCAGACAACAACAGGCATTAGTAGCAGCAGGAGCAGCAGCTCAACTCTTACCTTTCAAACGACAAAATTTTGTATTCACTTTCTTCAACTAAAAATTTCGATGAAGATGTTCCACAAGACCGCCATTTTATTACTCGTTTTGGCCGTGGCCTTTACGCATGCAGAACCACCACGCTTCCGCCAACGCAATAGCCGCCTACAGCAACGCAGACCATTTTTCGCACGTCAGGAGTCGGTGCCCTCAGCACCTGAAGAGCCTGAGCCGGCACCCTACCCCTCAGCCGATGAATTGAAGCCGGAAGATCCCTTCCAAGCGGAGGAAGAATTGGAACCCGAGTTGGTTTACGGTCCACCTGACCCTACCTACGGACCACCATTGCCCGCAACAGATCCCTTGCCCGTAGTAGATGCACCAGCAGAGTTTGCGCCCAATCCCGAAGCCGAAGAGTTCGCACGTCTGACCGTGGCGCGCCCCTCGCGTTTACAACAGCGTTCCCAGCAACAAACAACTCAATTCCATATTGTTCAGCAGTCTCAACGCCTGCAGCAGAGAAAGCCACAACAAAAAGCCATCATTAGGCAGATCGTTAACACACCCCAGCAGAAAGCGACCATTAGGCAAGTGGTGAGCACACAACGTTTGGTGGCAAAGCCTGCGCCTGCCGCGACAGTGGTTGTGGCAGCACCCGCTGTCGCGTCGGCACCGGCTAATGCACCCAGTAATGTGGTGATCAGCTCGGAACGTCTGGTGCAGGTGGAACCAGCGCCACTTTTCAGCGCCTCCCTTGGTACGCCACTCGGCGAGTCTTATGTGACGATCAATTCGCCATTCGCGTTAACCTCACAATATCAGTCGTGGTAATAATGTTGTGAGATCGTTATTTGTTTTATTGATGTATTAGAAATGTTATAGGAAAGTTACACAGTCAAAAAATATATAATATATAAACAAAACATAAATAAACGAAAAAATCGAAAATCAACTGTAGTTTTAATTTAATTCAGTTTTATAAAAGAATTTGATAAAGTTGCACCCGGTAGAAATACTCCATGTAGGTTACGTTGCACTGGCTGGCTCTCACGCCATACATAGACATAAGGGTTCTTTGTAACGACGGAGAGCGCTTCAGTTCGGTTTAAGTTAAAGTATTCCATAAAAGCTTCACAGACTCCAGCTATCGAAGCTGCAACGACTGTCCGGCGGCAAGTGCAAGCTTGAAGTCATGCTTGAGCTCACACCACTTCATCTAGGGATCTGTCAGGTAGCAAATCACACACAAATTGCTACTGGTGCAGGAGTGTAGAGAACGGTTGAATAGCCTAGTGGAACGTAATCAAGTGCACTTATCTGGGTGTCCGGTCACAAAGGTATAGCCGAAAACGAACTGTTTGATGAACTCGTTCGCTCGTTTTCTAACATACAAATAATAGTAGTAGGATCTGAACCCTTCACTGGGATGGGCCCCCTACCATAAAGGAGATGCTACGCAAGGAGAGAAGAGCAGACAGAGAGAGTTTGGGAACAACTACAAGGCATTCAGCATGCTGAGTTAAGCCGTGTTTTAAATAAGGCCGAAGGTGGTGTACCAACGTCTCTGTTTATGCCTGAATTCCTGCACGTGCTTTCTGCACGTCATTACTAATTTCAATATGGCTCGCTTATGATCTCAATAAGTTGTCCCCTGTGATTGGGCCAACAAGCGTCCTGCTGTTTTTTTCGAAACCGTGTGAGTAGAAAACTTGCCCGCTTTCTTTCCGCGTATTTCTTGAACTTGTTCGGTAGTCAAGCAAATATCACTCTTAGCAATCTCATCGAGCTTTTTCGTTTCTCAGAACACCTTTGTGATCCGGAAGCCAGTATACTATTGTCTCCCCGCATCTATGGGGATTCTCTGACACAGTGCGATATGAGATCGACGTATATATTGTCATTATTTACATCTTTTCCTGCATTGATAGCTATTTTCGCAGGTTTCCTGTCCGTAAAGACTTCTGCCTGAAAGTTACTGCAGTATTTCGGCAGATTGAAGGATCGCCGGGTTTTCCGGTATTGTCCGCCACCTCAGCACCTGCGCTGTCTACAAAGACTTCTTTCTGGAAGATATTGCAGGTTGAAGGATCTACGGGGATCCAGCTCCACACAATAAATCCCGGCCCCACGTCATTACAGCTTTTTGATAGGTCTACGTAGATGTTGAAATTTCCGCTAGTGGATCACGAAGACTGTTCTCCCGCATAAAAGTTGAAGGTATTAGACCACATACCGACCCCCTTCTTAGCGAGCCCTGCCCATCAACTATCCAGATTTAAGCTCCTTTATTTACAAGCTGGGAGCCCTTTCTCTCAGAGCGAGCCTTATATTTCAATTAAAATCTCAACTTTTCTTTTGAGCCACACTGTTGACCGCTCACTTACACGCTTACATGAATACATATATACTTATTGCTTGTTATAAATAGTCTACGCTTCAAGGCATCGTTAACGATCTTTGGCTTCCTTAACCGACGTAGCATAAAGCTGTAATGTCGTGGCATCTTCCTTGTTTGTTTGCAAGTTCGCCTCAACAGATTAATAAATACTCAGCAGCCGTGAGCTTCGCCGAGCAACATTTACCGTAATTTAAAAACTCATTAAACTTTACCAACAT